GCCCCCGTGCAGCAAGAGGCCCGTCTGTTGCACCAACTCAAGCGCAATGGGAACACCAACGCCTTCTGGCGACGGGTTCAGCGCTCTCGGCGCGGCCCTCTCCCTCCTGGGGGTGGTCGCACTGCCAGCGAGTTTGGAAGACATTTCGAGGCGGTGCACGCGGACGAGCCCTCCCTGCTAGACTCTGAGCAGGCTCAGATTGCTGCTGCAGTCGAAGAAAGGGCGCGACGCTATTCCACTCTGGCCACCACTCGGACGGTCACCGTGAGTCAAGTTGCCGACCTGTTGCGCCGCCTCCCTCTGCGCAAGGTACCGGGTGCGGACGGCGTGACGGCGGAACACCTCATCTATGGCTGTTCTCCTCCCCTGCTATCGGCACTGGCCCAGCTTCTATCGGCCTGTTTGTCTTCGTGCAATGTGCCGGCCACATTTGCAGAGAGCGTGGTAGTGCCTCTTCTGAAGAAATCCCAGCTTGATCCAAACAATCTGGACAACTACCGGCCTATTAGCCTGACATCGTGCACGTCGAAGCTGCTGGAGATGCTGTTGCTGGATGAACTTGAGGCCAGTTTCTGTCCGCACGACCTTCAGCTGGGATTCGTGAAACAGCGAGGCACCAGCGAAGCATCCATATTGGCCCTCGAGACCATTCAGTGGTGCCGACAACGAGATCTGCCAGTTTACGCGGCAAACTTGGACGCCAGGAAGTGTTTTGATAAGATCTGGCATGACGGGCTATTCCACCGTCTGGCGCAACACCTTCGTCCGAACTCATGGCTGCTCATGCTTGCCTGGTACCGCCGACTTCAGGCTCACATTGCCTTTGACGGTGCCATATCCGACTCATTCAGGATCCGCCGGGGCACCAGGCAAGGTGCTATTCTCTCGCCTATCCTAGCCAACGCCTACCTACACCCGCTCGTAGCCGCCTTGGACGTAAGCGATCTCGGTGCTGACCTATATGGTCACCACGTGCCAGCTGTCTGCTATGCCGATGATCTGCTACTCCTGTCCACCAATGCCAGAAACCTCAGCACTCTACTAGATGTGGTTGATGACTTTGCGAAGACCTGGAGGCTGGAGTTCGTCCACCCGGAGCCCGTCCGCACCAAAAGCCACTGCATGGTCTTCGGCGCCGAGCTTCTATCCGAAGTGCCAAGATGGAGCCTGTCGGGCCAGCAGCTCTCCACCCGCCAGCAGTCCGAGCACCTCGGTGTCGTACTGGATGGGAGTTTATCTGCGGCGCCACACGTCCAGCACCGCGCGTCTCGAGCTCGTGCCAGCCTGTACGGTCTCGCGCCTGCTGGTATGCTGACGTCCGGCCTCTGCCCAGCCGACAAGTGCTTCTTGTGGAAGACTATCATTCAACCGGCGCTCACATATGGCTGCGTGGCCGCCCCGCTCAATGCAAGGGACATGACGATCCTCTGTTCCGCTCAAGCGACTTCCATCAAGGTGGTTCTTGGCCTGCCTCGCTCCGCCCACCATTCGGCGCTTCTCGCTGCTGCCGACATCCAACCAGCACATGAACTGCTGCGGGCAGCGTGTTTCCGCACTTTGAAAGATGCGATGCGCTCAGAGCACCGGCTGCAGCAGGCGCTGCTGTCAGGAATCACCAAGCTGGCTATGTGCCCGACTGAGCTAGTGGGCTCATTACTGATACAGCTTCATGAGATGTGTGACTGCAACCTTTCTGCACTCCTCGGGGTGGCAGCAGGGCGGCCGTGCAGCGACCGTATCTACCCCCAACGGGCTCCCGATGGCCTAGCTGACTCGCTTGCCTTCCTGATGAGTCGCCGGGACCAAGTATCTCGCCGCCTGCTCCGGCTATTGACATGCCCGGAGCGGGAGTGAGTGTCGCCTGCGACATCAATGTGTGGCCCCTGCTCACCCACTGTCATGCTTTGTGTGATGTTTTGTGTGTGCCTTTTTTTCTTACTTTCTTGCCAACTTTGGTGCCTAATAAACTATGATGATGATGATGATGATAGAGACAGATACACTGCAAACTCATTTTGACAAGGGGTTGTCGTACAACGACGAGCGTTTGTCAAAAATACTAATAAAGGCAGGGGGAGGCACTCGCCTTGGCCGTATATGGGCCAGAATGTCTAACGATTTCCGCCATGTTGTGTATACCAAAGTCTTGAAAAGTTGATCACTGCAATCAAACTGCAAGCATGAAGCAGCAGCACTTTTGAGTAGTGTACCTCTCACTTAACTGCACCTCTGCTACCGTTTCTGGTATACACAACATGGCGGAAATCGATAGACAAAAACAAGTCACCAATGCTCCTTCCAGTATATATTAGAGTTCAATGAATAAAGGTTATGTCGAACGACGAATATCTTGTCATAGTTGGTTGAATCAACAGGGCAAATATTGACGTAATGACATGATGTGGAGATGGAATTAAATTGATGAAATACTAGGACTTACTCCACAAGGAGATCGAATGGGTCGGAGCGCTTTCAATATGTATTATACATATCGTCGTCAGCGAATCAATAACGGGTCGAATCGAGTCGGGTATCGAAGAGGTTCGGGAGCTGCGCGGCAGAGCGATCACATACTATTCGAATTATGCATTAAAGAGAATAAAAAACACGTGAGAACAATCTCTCCGGTGGTCGCTGACCTGTACATGGGTCACTGGGAGGCTGATCTGGAGCTCCTGGCGGCCAACTGTGGTGGCAGGGTCCATGCTTTCTGCCGATACGCGGACGACTACCTGGTCTTGTTCGAGGGCAGTGACGACATCCTCAGCACGTGGGTCAACCAGCTGAACAGCAAGGACTCCAGCATCAATGTCACCACTGACTTGGAAGTAAACCGACAGCTACCGTATCTTGACATCTGCATCACTAGAAGAGACGACAAGTTCTGCACCAAGGTCTACAGGAAGTCCTGCAACACCAACCAAGTGCCTGCCTTCAGCTCCTACACCGAGACCCGCTACCTGAGAGCGGCCATTCGATCTGACTGCACTCGAGCGATCCGATACTGTTCGTCCATGAGAGACCGCCAGCAGGAGCTTGACTTCATCCGCCAGAAGTTTCATCATCATGGCTACCCACGATCATTCATCGACTCGGCCATTCAGAAGACTCGGACCGATCTCAGACTGAAGGCAAGGGCCCTACCAGCGCCACCTAGCGCGAACTCACACCCGGCGCCTGTCCGAGTCTCTGTTCCGTTTGCCGGCCCCCTGTTCTACCAACTCAAACGGGAGGCCAGCAAGATCGGGATCCAGCTCGTCTCCAAGCCTTCAGTCACCATCGGCTCGCTGCTCTGCAGCAAGGCTAAGCACCATCTGCCTAAGCTACAACAGAGCAACGTCATCTATCGGATCGAGTGCTCCTGCCAAGTGGACGGTGACCCAATGGTCTATATCGGCGAGACAGATCGTGAGCTGGGCACGAGACTCCGAGAACACCGGGAGAGCTGGACTGGAGCAGTCCGCTCGAGAGCCAATACATCGGCCTTCAGTACCCATAGAGACTGCTCACCTGCTTTCGATGCCATCAAGATCTTGAATCGAGCCAGTCATCACCAGATGCGACTTCTCCTGGAATCGGCCTATATTCGGACTGTTGGTCGGCGTGAAGCCGTCCTGGTGTCGCCGAATGACGCAAACGTGAACAGGAACTCGGGTGCCCTGCTGCATGACCGCTGGCTGCCGATAATCCGCCGTTTTTGTCAGTAGTGTTTACGTCTAGTTCGGCCTTTGTATGTATTTATATTTGTACTCGTCCTTTTACAGTTTTTGCACTCATTTTTGTATAGTCTTTTCTACTCAGTCTTTATCACCATAGGTATCCTGTTTCCCCCCCCCCTTTATTGTATTTTTATACGTGCCATTTATGCATTTTAGCACCCCATTTTAATTCATTTTAGCAGCTAGTGTATCATGATTGTTCTCACGTGTTTTTTATTCTCTTTAATGCATAATTCGAATAGTATGTGATCGCTCTGCCGCGCAGCTCCCGAACCTCTTCGATACCCGACTCGATTCGACCCGTTATTGATTCGCTGACGACGATATGTATAATACATATTGAAAGCGCTCCGACCCATTCGATCTCCTTGTGGAGTAAGTCCTAGTATTTCATCAATCAGGGCAAATATTAGTATCAGCCCCAGCACCCAGTCGACCATTCATAAAATTGACGGGGATTATGGAGGCTATTGTGAAAACTACCAGGGTCTTATTCGTAATATGGAACATAGATTTGCTTATGATTTGTAATTTATATCCTTGTCGAAAGAACCAGCTACACCATTGCAACAATACTGATACATACTTATTACGGAGCGAGCGAAGCGAGCGTAGTCTTTCCTTAGATTAACGGAAATTTCTGAGTATGAGCGGCCGGCCGGCCGGCCGTGGTCACGCTTTTGCGAGGCTTATATCTCAGCAACCACTTGACCGATTTACATGCGGTAATTTTTGTAGGGTAGCTTCATTCCTTCTACCAAGTATTGCACTATTCCCGATGCATGTGGGTGACCCCTTATGCACGTGCCACGTGCAAAACCAAGAGGTGTCACTTTTGTAATTGTTGCAATATCTCGGTAACTACTGGGCCGATTGCGCTGAGAGTTGGCATGTAGGTAGGCACCCACTAGGCAATGCATATCCATGTGCCAGAGTTGGGGTGCTGCTGCACGTGCGCACGTGCAGGGGTCGTTTCCAGATCTCGAGAACGGCTGGACCGATTGCGCTCAAATTTGGTACACGGTTACGGAGCAGTTAGTAGGGTGCCGTGCACAAGTCAGTTGGGACCCATTTTGCACGTGCGCACGTGCAGGGTGCCGCTTCCAGATCTCGAGAACGGCTGGGCCGATTGTGCTCAAATTTGGCACATCGCTAGAGACCGGTTAGTAAGGTGCCGTGCACAAGTCAGTTGGAGGTACCCCCTCGCAATTTTGCACGTGCAAGGCCCACCCTCTCGCTCGCTCCGTTAGTCGCCACAAAAGGCGTTATACTGGTGTAATCTATGTCCTTGTCAAAGGTATCAGCTACACCTTTGCAACACGGACTTAGTTACGCTAGTTAGACGTGTTAGTAGTAACATATACAAAGCTGTTACTTGTTATATATGTGGCGCCAAAAACGTTTCCGGCCGTTTCATTTTGAAAGTTTCAGTTGCGCGCCAACCGCCGTGCAGTGATGTGGCCTCCTGCGCACTTCCGTGAAAATGGTAGGTGGTAACAGTGTTCGGTCGTTTTTGTCATTTTTTAATGAAATGTATGTCTTTCAACTGATGGTAATGCAGATTGAATCAGAGAAATTTGCTAAATAAGTGCGTGATGTATGGAAGCAAGCACAATGTGTTCTGCTCCAGGCCATATTGTTCTGCATATGCTATAATATAGCGATGCTTTCTTTCAGGCTTTCATCAGGAGCGAAAGCTCCAGCTTGCAAGCAAGGGTCGCTACACTGAAGACAGCAAACTGCAGAAACTCAAGAATTCTAAAAATGAAAAAGCACCTGAATTCCAAGGGGCTAATGAATTTGAATGCCCCTTAGATTTGAATGGGTACAGTGTACTCGGTAAGTGATGACGCTCATTGCTTTTTCGCATGCGTTATTGCCCTTGCCCCTTGGGTCATGAGTGTTATCACCATTGTGTGTGTAATGTGTATGTACCATTTTAAATACATGACCTACTTTCAGTAATGCTGTTTTGCTGTAATAATGAGACTGCAGAGCGGCGACCTGCGATTTGTGGAGAAAACTGACGAATACAAGGGAGGTCTTTGTAAAACGTTACAAACCTGAGACTAGTAGATTGCTTACAAGTACAGGTTTGCTGCATGTAGACATTACTATGCTAACTAAGATTTGCATTGATTTGACTTAACAAGTACACGGCTCAGCCCTGTTAAATGCAAACATGCGCAGGTCTTTACCTGGTAGCCGCATGATTATAACTAGGAAAACAGTCGTTCACACAACAATGACAAAGCAAACTTTGGTAGCTAGTCTAACGAACTACATGTGAGTGAGTTGTAAGAAAAACTACCATGACAAACAATAGGGTCGTTCGATGACATGGCAAAGGGTGCGGGGATTTGCGCTAAATAATTTTCCTTGTAAAAGTAACAAACGTTTGTTGAAATGAGTTTACAGTGTAGGTGACGGCATGACGATTATGACCCAACGATATACCTAACGAGATACCTACATATACCTAACTCTGTCGTTAATCATTCCTCAGGAAGGAAGACCGTTTCTTGTAAAAAAAAAAAAAACTTATCGCATCGTTTTATGGAATCATGTGTATTCCGGTCAACCACAAACTAAACATTTTCCGCCTGTCATCAATGCCCAGCATGCCGTGCGGCAAACAAAGGGAATAGCCGGGAATAGCCGAGCCGAGTGTGCGCTTTGTTTGACAGTTTGACCTGTCTGACAGAATGACAGTGCCCGTTTCATTTTCAACCGTTCAGCTAAAATTGCAAAATATTGCGAGGTGCCATGCATCTCCAGCAGCAGGACTACAGTCATGAGCAGACCACCAATCACAATCTGGTTATTTCTATGCTAGCAGCTGTCCCTTCCTCCTTAGTTGAAGTCGCATCACCCAGAACATCCGGCGCTGTTCCGGTGGCACGGTCGGCGTCCTTGGCGTCGGGCTCGGTCGTATCGCTGTCGCTCCGGGGTCTGTCCAAGATGCCCGCCTCCAGCTGGGCCACCGTCTCCGGCAGCGGCCGGCCCGTGGTCTCGGGAAGTAGCAGCGACGCCAGGCCGGCCAGCAGGCTCCATGCGCCGAACGTCAGCGACGGCGCCTTGTCGTGCAGATCCCCGATCAGGTCAACCACAAACGGGGCCACCATCGCCCCGAACCGCGCGCTGAGGTCCGCGAGTCCATAGCCGACGGCACGGACAGAGGTGGGGATATACTCGGGTGTGTAGAAACACAACACACTCTGGACCCCAGAGATGAACAGCTTACCGGCAAGGCCCAGCACCAGCATCAGAGTAGCGTCGTCGTTGATAAGGACGAGCATCATGAACACGCCAGTGAGGAGGAACAAGACGGAGGTGACCGGGCGCCGACCGAGCCGGTCAATCAGCGGCGACAGGAAGGAGCCGGGAACCGCCACCAGGCCTGACAGCACGCCGGCCACGAACCGACTCTCGCTCAGCTGGGTCATACCGAACGACAAGCCGTAGTAGGCCGCGTTAAAGCCCGCCCAGCAGAAACAGGTGGCCAGTATCCACCTGCGAAGGAGGGGAGAGCGCCAGAGCTGCGACGTTTCAGAGGCGGTCTTCTGAACGCCCATTTCACAGTGACGAACATCCTCCAGCATTTTCATCATCTGACTCTCTTCGGGAAGCTGGCGGCCGTTGACACGCGCGATGGCTGCCAGGACTCGCAGCAGCTCCGTGTCACGGCCCTGCACGAACAGCCAGCGTGGCGACTCGGGCACCAGCCAGAAGCTGAGGACGAAGATGAGCATAGGAGCCGACAGGGCGAGCTGCAGGTGCCACCAGACGCGTAACTTGTACGCTGCTGCCGCGAGCAGCATCTCGCCCAGCGGCAGCGGCAGCGTCAGCAGCTGGCCGGCCCACACCCGCCACTCGAGGGCGATCAGCTCCATGACCAGCACGACACAGCAGCTGATGCTGCCCGTCATGCCGATACCCGTGATGAATCGCGACAGCAGGAACAGTTCGTATCGGCTACCAACAGCCGAGAGGAACGATCCTGATACGAACATTGAGATCATGATGTGTTGAACAATTTTCCTGCCAAACCTGTCGCTGAAAAACCCCGCCAGCATCGCGCCAACCACTCCTCCAAATTGGAGAACGGACTGGCCCATGGAGAGCAGCGGACGCCGCTCACACACCAGGTCCCACTGGGTGACCACCGAGGAGCCGGTGAAGTTGGAGTCGTACAGCCAGCGGCGGCACGGCTGGCCGTCCGGCGCGCGGCACCGCTCGGCGGCCGTCTCCGAGAGAGACGCGAAGGTGGCGTTCTTCGGCTGGCCGTCAGCGCAGAGGAAGGCGGGCGTCTCTCCCATAAAGGCCATGGCCATGTTGCAGTATCCGATGGTGGTGACAATCAGCAGCATCCAGCAGAAAAACATTACTTCCCAGCGGCCCTTGCCGCCTGCCAGTAACATGACATCTTCGAAGAGGCGTGCTTCCTTCATCAGTGAGCCGTCGGCCATCGACAAGGTCAGCTCACTGGGCCGTGATATAATTTTGTTGTTGCTGGGATTCGTGCGACGAATTCAGACTTCAGGGGCTGTCTTTGGCGGAATACAGCCGATCGGTAGTCCCCGGCGAAGCTGCTGCTGTCGCTGATCTGCTCCGACAGAACTGTCGGGACTGACTCCCGCCTGTCGAGCTACGCTGTCGTCCCGGGCGCCGCAAAATGCGAAATGACCGATTTTTTTTTTCAGTCAGCGCTTTATAACACCGACTGTTAAAGCCGAACACACGTCCCTAGTGACCTGTTCATAACAATGAGTCCCCTACGCTCGCAGTTTAATTTGAAAACATGGCAGATTTTATGCCGAACAATAAAATTCGGCTAGTTTATCAGTTAAATGATCTTATTATGAAGTGCGTTTTGCATGGCAGCTGCTCATGACACGTCACACAGGAATAGCGCGCGGCATTCAGTCAAAAATAACGTTTTTGCTAGCAAACATCCCTAAAGCGGTGCCCAGCAAACCACAAAGTGCATATTCCATCGTCCAGAGGCATCGACCGAATAGAGCTGTGTATTTTTCCAGAGTCATATAATTGATATGTTGACTAATACAGAGTACAGGTGCCGTGTCCGCTTCTTGGTAGGACCAGTCTGTTCTCTGACGAGAGTAAGTGCGATGAGCACGTCTTTCCGCAGTTATTGTGCCTTGGAACTTAACCCGCGCCCCAGTGGCGGTCTTAGCCAACTTCGCCATAGGGGCGTTCCACGACAAATCGACAAATAAAAAATTAAATTTGCACCCTCATATTTTATTATTCGTTGAAAACTGGTGTAAGGGGTTGTGATGGGCGGGGAAGCCAGCTGTGGCAAGGATTTTTTTCTTCGAACAACGGTTTCCGAGATATAGCCTCGGGCAATTCCTGGAGTTCGCGCTGCAGCCCTATGTTTGGCGGCCTATAACTCAGAAACTATTGGTTTTTTACGATAAAAACTGTATATGGTTCAACTCACAATCAACCAAAAACATTTTGGCTATCTCGGATTTTCAATTTTTGAAAATTTTGATCACGTGACCTTTTGTCTTATTTTTCGAAGAGTGACCTTGATATTTTCCCCACTGAAAGTTGCAATTTTGTCTGATGACGATTAAAGCCTTATCGATTGTCATTCATATGCGATAATAAAAAAGTGGTTATCACCCTGTGTTGACCTCAGGTCAGGTCATTTTTATGACCTGTCCATCATTACGAGCGGGAGCGACAGCGAGATCTCGAGAATAAAGCAAGATAGCGACAAGCGGTAAACGGTAAAGGGTACACACGGATAAGGTCTATAATTTTTTTGAGGTCATTTTCAGGTCAGGTCAAAGATGACGTCACAGGAGCTAAAAGGAAGTCAAAATAGCGGCACTATACATATATATATGAAGTTTTTCTCGAATAACTTTCAAGGTATCCCAGCTAGGAACAAACTAATAGCACCATCGTGATCCTCTCGTCGATCCGCATCGAAACATATGTATGTTGACCTCGAAAGGTCGAAAGGTCAAAAGTTGACCTTAGATCACGTGACCTGACGCTGAACGCGCTGGGTGGTATGTGGCCTCGTGTGGGTGCAGTCAGGAGTTATAGTTACTGGTCCGAGCAGCACCAGCTGGCTGTCATTGTTAGCAAATGCACCATTACCATCGGTTGACTTTCGCAAAAGTGACACTCCGGTTTGTTTTGCAGTAGAAAAACGTAATTTGAACGGAAGGTATCTTAGTTATTAAACAAAACATTCGGTTATTTTGGTCAGGAACACTGACGAAGGTCGGGCCGGGCCCCGGGGTGAAGCAGTGCGCTATTTGCAGAGGGAAAAATGTTCAAGGCGTTGTCATTACTGGGTTACGTACCTACTCGAATAGTGAAGAATACGAAGCCCTCGAGATATTAACTTCATAGGGAACGTGCCTATATCAATCACAATAATGAAGGCATAATGAAAATGTTTCCTCTCTTCTATATAATCCATACAATTATCAAAGGTGGACTCAAACTTCGTAATTGTTAAAAGGAAATGTAATAGGTGGGGCGTTCCACGACAAATCGACAAATAAAAAATTAAATTTGCACCCTCATATTTTATTCTTCGTTGAAAACTGGTGTAAGGGGTTGTGATGGGCGGGGAAGCCAGCTGTGGCAATGATTTTTTTTCTTTGAAAACTTTGAAAACTCGAAAGGTCGAAAGGTCAAAAGTTGACCTTAGGTCACGTGATCTAAGGTCAACTTTTGACTTTTCGACCTTTCGAGGTCAACATATATATGTTTCGATGTGGATCGACGAGAGGATCACGATGGTGCTATTAGTTTGTTCCTAGCTGGAATAGGTACCTTGAAAGTTATTCGAGAAAAACTTCATATATATGTATAGTGCCGCTATTTTGACTTCCTTTTAGCTCCTGTGACGTCATCTTTGACCTGACCTGAAAATGACCTCAGTAAAAATTATAGACCTTATCCGTGTGTACCCTTTACCGTTTACCGCTTGTCGCTATCTTGCTTTATTCTCGAGATCTCGCTGTCGCTCCCGCTCGTAATAATGGACAGGTCATAAAAATGACCTGACCTGAGGTCAACGCAGGGCGATAACCACTTTTTTTATTATCGCATATGAATGACAATCGATAAGGCTTTAATCGTCATCAGACAAAATTGCAACTTTCAGTGGGGAAAATATCAAGGTCACTCTTCGAAAAATAGGACAAAAGGTCACGTGATCAAAATTTTCAAAAATTGAAAATCCGAGATAGCCAAAATGTTTGTTGGTTGATTGTGAGTTGAACCATATAAAGTTTTTATCGTAAAAAACCAATAGTTTCTGAGTTATAGGCCGCCAAACATAGGGCTGCAGCGCGAACTCCAGGAATTGCCCGAGGCTATATCTCGGAAACCGTTGTTCGAAGAAAAAAATCCTTGCCACAGCTGGCTTCCCCGCCCATCACAACCCATTAGACCAATTTTAAGCAAAAAATAAAATATGAGGGTGCAGGGCACTTGTCGATTTGTCGTGGAACGCCCCCATAGTGAGTGGAGGCTTATGTTACCACCCACCTCTAACTCAAAAGCTAACAGGGCTAGAAAGACGCGGTAAAAAGCATTCAATAGTTTTCAATGCGTACGTTTGAAAATATTTCAGCCATTTTTCATCTTAGAGCAATATTGGGGTTACCAGAGGTCAGGACAAAATTTGTCAAATGTCATTATTTTTTCAGAAAACATACCATTATCACAGGAACTATGATCGCTAGAAAAACGCATGGAAAAGCAATCGATAGCTTTTTAACTCTTCTTTTGATAGCGTCATCATCAAAATTGACGTCAGATCAACGGTTAAGCCTCAATAGGTCAAACATTGTGAAAATAGCTGTTTTTGGATAAAACTTTTTCACGAATAACTTTTAAACCAGCAAAGATAAAGAATTGGCGATGGCACTATCGTGTTTCTCTTCTTCAGTTGCTTCGAAAAATATATATTTTTTTACCTGGAAAGGTCAAGTTCTAACTTTGACCTCAGGTCAAGGTCACGCGATGACCCAGATAGGCCATGTTGCATATCAATCGATGCGTCTCTACAAGACAAACACAATGAAGCCATCCCCAGCGTTCTATCTCTTTCCAATCGAGTTATTGGCAAAAGGCTGTTTGTAGCCTCAAATGACCTCGGATGACCTTTCTAGAGGCTATCAGCAAAAAAAGACACCTTGGTCGTCACGGGTGCTCCAAATCATTGTGATTGTGAAGCATTTTGGCTGTTCCTATGCGTACACACGTATCTAGAGGCATTTTCATTTTTCTCCATTGACTTATAATGGAAAGGTCACGCCACTGGCCTGACCTTAGGTCAAGGATATAAAAAATCCGATATATACAAATTATAGGTGCCCATAACATCATGCAATCCACCAAGTTTTACATCTCTCTGACAAACACTGCAGGCTGGACATGATCGATTGCAAACTTTTTTAGGCTTTGTCAGTTAACTTGACCTGGTGACCTGACCTGACATAGCCTGGGGTCAAAAATTTCACACATTGCTCAAAATTGATGTGCAGTAAGCTACTCCAACCGGCGCGGCGCTACGCATCGCGGTTTTTTTATTCACAAATCACACCACACGCAAAAAAAAAAAACGCGACAGGATGGTAACAATGCCCCCCAGCCCCTACTGGGGCGAAGGGTTGCAGGTGCACTGCCGAGACTCTCCAGTCTCCACGCAAGCCCATGCTGGGTCAAAATAATAATAAAATCACATCTTATTCGAATAAGCGGCTATGAGTCCAGGGCCTCGTTTCATAAAGCGAGTCCGTAACTTAGGGCGGTTTTTGATCTTGTATTGAAAATGCATGTGAAGCGATGACATTAGTTTGAATCGTTGAATTTGTTTATCTTGCAAGCAAGAACAGAAGGGAGGCGTGGAAATAAACTTATCGCTTCACATGCACTTGCAATAAGACCAAAAACCAGCGTAAGTTACGGACTCGCTTTATGAAACGAGGCCCTGGTAGCAAATAAAGAGCGATTGTTGCAAAGTAGATTATACAACAACGAACGACCGCATCGCCAGCCTCCAATTCACCGGTATGCCCGAATACCTTCCGGGTCCGTTGCACAGAGCGCCCGGGTCGACATCAGCAAGCATTCATGGCAATAAAATAAAGCCCTATTATGGGTGGGAAAGCAAAACTGCCGCCACATACCTAAAGGTACGGCCTGTTACAGCTCCACATCGTAAAATGAAAACGCCCTGCATGAAGTGCAGCTGAAATAATGTCCGATCGGTAGGCGGTATGGTATTCAGAATTGATGTGCGCAGCACCGGCTGCCGGTGGCCGCCACTCGCCACCCAAAGGAGACGGGGAGGCACAGCAGTGGGCAGATCCGCAGCACTGAACGCGAGCAACATGTGTTTAGTCCGTGACTTTGTCTCAGTGGTCTTGGCCCTGGGGATTTCAGTCCCAACATTCTGACGGTCTGATGGCTAGCGACTCCAAGGTCGCTGGTCGCTGGAATAGGATGGTAACTTCAGTCTCACATATCCCAAGCTGTCCAGAAGAACTTCTGGTGACGGCTGATGCCCTGGGCGAGGTAGGATAACTCATTGAGCTCGTGCACGAATCTTGACTCCGTCATCTGACCAATCAGAGGCCAGGACCGGGTCAGAGGTCAGCCGTTTGGGCGCAGCTGCATTGTCAGATCATGGGGATAATAACCGCTGAGCGTGTTCTCTGAGGGAGTGGCAGACGCCTGCAGCATCCAGGGGCCACCTCAGAATGCCAGGGACACTGTCGGTTATATATTCAGCAGAGGAGAGTCTCAGACATGGGACAGCCGGACCCACCAGTGGTGGGGGCACGACACGAGTTGGCCGGACCCTCCAGCAGTGGTGGGGGTCAGGCACGACACGAGTTGGCCGGTCCCGCAGCAGTGAGTAGTGACCATTGTCAGACGGCAGCCCGCTATAGCATCAGCGCCCAATAATAAATCGAACAGGTACGAGAGACTGTACCGTCCTGGGCGCCACAAATTGTTCGCTGTGCCAAGCCGCTGACAATGGTTGGCCGTTCGGAAGCTTCATGGCAGCATGAACTGAGTCTGTGTGCCTTCCATTTGTATAGGCATTCCAGAACATTTAAAAGCCCCGTAAAAAGTTTGAAAACGTCAGAAGTGTCACCATTCAATTAGTTTTAGCTGAGCAACCACTTGAGAAGCACACAAAAAAGCTCCGGAAGCGCGAACCAGAATCGCCACACAAAAAAAGATCCTCCTTGATAAATGACATTTTGATGTATATCTGTGAGAACTGGGACGTCCTACCGTCCTCTCTATTCGGGTGAGACTCCCAGCCCCACCGGCCGCGCCGGACCGGGTGTGCGCCTTACGGTCCTCACGTGGACGGGACGGGACGGGGCGGGGGCGGGGCTCGGCTAACTGTCCGGTCCCGGTGACCACACACGTCGCACGTGGCTCCGGCTCCGGTCAATTCACTCAGGTAGTTCGGCGGGCACACGGATGTCCATTCGTGTGAGGGTTGAAAGTTGAGTCAATAAAGTTGATACCGTTACTGAGCTGTTTTGTTAGCACAGTAGAAACTACCTATACGCTGAGTAGCACAACTAGTGTACTGAAAGGCACATTTGGAGGCCAACGAGTTAGGTATAATGTTCCTCACAATATTTTTTTTAGTGATCTTGCTACCCATGCAACTTGTTTTCTCCACGAAAGTCCTCCATGACCTTACGCATCACTCAACTCATCTCCATTCAAATAAGGTCCCCGTATAGTGGTGCATGATCCGTTTTATCTTCTTAGTAAGCTCCGGGGAGCAGTGTAAATCAGTGAATCACCTCCGTATGATAATCCCCGTTTCAGGGAGCACATGGTAGCGGTGCGGTCCCGCGGCGCAGCGCTGCGGTCCGCAGGGAGGTGGGCAGGTCCACATTCCGTGAAATGACGTCAGCGTGCCGCCAGGGAGCCCCGGGCTGCCTCCGTGACTGGCGGCAGCCGATGTGGGTCACTCGTTAGGACCACAATCACGACCTGAAGGTCGTTGACTCTCGAGTCGCGGAGGCAAGCCGGTTCTTTATTCAGTGATACGTGGACCCTCTGTCCAGATGCGACGGTCATTGTCAAGCTTGCTGCCTGCCTACTCATGTGTAATGTTTCACTGCCCCTGGTAAGCCCGTAAGCATGAGATTAGGCGAAGCTGTTTCGCCCATGTATAACTGTAGTGAGGAGTAGGAGTGCAGCCACCGCGCCGCATGGGGGCATGGTCAGCAGAACGGACAGACCTATAATCACACGGCGACTGCAAAAACCGATGCATTTGTTTTTACGGGAATCGCATTCGGCATTTGCGCAATGTGATGCACAACAGCGAGATAAAAGAGCGGTTATTAGTGGCGGTGGCGGTCGCGGGGCGAAACATGCCCGGCTCTAATAAAAGTCGTTATGCCAATTATCACAGGCTTAGAAAAGCCGATTCCACGATAAAACAAGGTAACAAAGGTAACAAGGTAACAAAGACTGACAGGCCCTGTGTCTGGCTCGTGACAGCGCACTTACTTTGGAGTTTAGTTGTACCTTATTGTCGCTATATTTTAGCATCACACTTTGAAATAAATCTGAAACCATAGTTTTATCCATATCTGCGGTAGACGGCTAAGGGAAACGAATATAACCGCAAACAACCATGACGTACTAATCGGATATTTAAATACGACCGGTGAATAATTCCTTCTTTACCGGTCGAAAGAATGAAGAACCCTTTCATCCCTTCTTCTAGAGGCATTCTCAGAGAAGCAACAATGACTTGATGAGGCGGATAACGATCCTGGGCCGCAGCAAAAGTCAACTGGGACCTAACTTCGAGCACTCGTATAATAGCACTCGGAACTCACCTGTTTTTGTGGTCTGTCGTTGAAATCCTGTCCACCCGTGTCCAGCAGTGGGCTCCTCGCGCTGTCCTCTGGCGGCCTCTCAGCACCGCCGGGCTCGGCCACTACCGTGTCTCTGTCCGCTGTCCGGCGGCCGGCGCGCTCAGCTGGCTGATTTCTGACCTGACCCGGCGGCGGCGCCGGCCAGCGCCGCCCCCAGATCCAGCGGTGGTTTTTGCGGCGGGCGGCGGGCGGCGGCGGGCGGCGGCAGGTGAACATCCTCCGGGGCGGCGCGCACCGCTAGCCGCGCCGGTCAGCCGCCGCCGGCCGGGCCGAGGTGCGCGAGCTGTTGTCTCCGCGCCCGACCGGCTCCGCGCCGCCCGGTCATCTGCGGGCCGGACAGACCGGAACTGTGACGTCACCGGTCACACAGACACTCGGCCGCGCCGGGAGGCCAGCGCGCAATGGTCGGCGCGTGGCTTAGCCTTATATTAAACATTTGGACGGTTTAACAGTTGGCGAATTTAATTGACCCTCGGCAGGTCAATCGCTTTTCTACATACATGAGGGACGACCCTCAGCCGTTTCAATCAATTAAGTCAGAGACCCACAAAAACTACGGAAGGTCACGAATGAATGGCGCAATGACATTCTGAATACTACCAAATCTTCAGGTCTTAGGTCGACCAAGAACCTCTAAGGTCACGTTAAGGACCGAAAGGTCGGGTCACAATGTGCTTTTTCAGCATAATTGTTATGAGGCAGCCATGTCGAAATAATAACGTTTTAATGTCCGAGCGGCACCTAAATGATCAAACCCTAGTTTGGAAAAGGTAAGTTCGGATGTTTATCACACACCCATCGCGGGACAAGGCCAGGTCGAAGTCGGTCAGGCCAGGATGTTGGCCTATGCATTTATGCAAGTCATGGTGTGTATGCTTTGATTCGGTAGCTTTGGCCGGCTTGCTAACTTGAATTTATGGGAAATACCAGTGCAGTGGTGGGCACTGTAACTTAACCAGGAGTCCAGGACTTCGATGACGATAATTCGATAACCTCTTTCGAGGTCAGCGACTTCGATAACGTTAAATCGATAACCAAATCGGTCACTTCGATAACACGATAACGATACCGATAACTTCAAAAAAGAAAGAAATCGAAAGGATTTCTTGACAGGAATAAGCTTCTAATTAATAGTTAATCCATTCACTCATACAACACCATTATTACCCAGCTGCTTGCACAAAAAGGAGAGCTTAGATTAGAACAGTGAAAATGTTATTTTTCTCGTACAAACAAACAAACGTACAAACAAAAACTTGAATATCTTTAGCGACAGAGCTTGTTGGGCCAAAAGACATTCCAAATAGCATTTTTCAGTGCTCAATCTACAACACTGCTATCTCAGTTCAAAACCCCATGTTGAAGGTTAACTATCCCCTTTAATACGCTCGCGTCTATTTGATGAAGCTATCGTTATCGATTGACCGAAACGGGGACTTCGATAACGCTACTTCGATAATCAATAACGATAAACTTGAAAAAAACGTTATCGTCGATAACGAATTCGATAATCGTTATCGATAGGAATCGAAGTGCCCACCACTGGGAGATACCATACCTATTAAGCAAAGCCTTTGATGACCTGAAATAAGTTACGTCGTATAGGCAAGCCGTTTTTTTTTCTTCCCTACACCTATATATGGCGTAAGGTCTGAAACAGAAAACTGGACTTGGAACCGTGCAAACTACGATTCTGAGTGCTTGAAAGTCGGATAAAATTGCATCCCCTAGGATAAAAATGTTTTTTTTTCCGCATTTCCTCATAAAATAACAATGGTAAAGTAACGTGATCGACCTGACCTTAGGTGACCCTTATGAAAAATCCGAAGCCTTCAATTTCTGCCAATAGGACCTGGACTTTGCAAGTTTCTTAACCCGCGCATGACTGGGGTATTTTCCATAACGCGAGTGACTGGGAGGGGGGCTCTCCAGAGCCCCCCCTCCTATCTCCGAAACTACTGGGCCGATCGTCAAAATTCAAACGGCGTCTGATAGCTCTGGAAAAACTGTCGAGCGAAACCTATTTTCATTGACCTCGAGGTCACCGATAACGTCACAGGTCAGGTCAAAGTAAAACTTATTGACATTTTTGCTAGTTCACAATTTAGGCTCTGACCACCGGACGGCCGGTCCGATCAGGCTCATTTTTGGTTTACGCACTCCTTGACGGATGCCTTAGATACCCTGAGGGTACCGAACTTTTACTTCGAATTTTTAAGGTCAAGGCCAGGTCATCCTAGGTCACGAAAATTGTATACCATGTATCGGTCACGTGACGCATGTTTTATGGTCCATTTTACTCGTAGATTTCGAAAATAGTGTCGTCTGTGTCATTTGAGGTCATTTTCAGCTGAATTTACCGGAGGTCAGGTCACTTTCATGTCAGAAAAGGTCAAATTTTGAAAATGAAATTTTTCAACAAAAAAGGTGCCTATCAGATGCAGTTTGAGCTCAGAAACACGATGGTGCCATTTACATATATTTATTGCTGTGCGACGTCAAAAACATACTGAAAAATGGATTTGAAAAAAAAACATAAAATTGTAAAATTTTGACAATAATGCGAATAACTTGGCTATTTTTGAAGGTATTGGGCTAAAACTTGCAAACGTAGTTTATCAGTGTATGTTCTATCACAAATATTCCGGTTTTTGCGAAAAGTCAAAAACAAAAAAAAATAAAAAATATATTTTTTGTAATTGTAAATACATATTTTTCAAAATTTTCAAAATATCGAAAATTCGAGATAGCAGTTTGATAGCTACGTGTATTTGTAGTCCACTCATGCAAAGAAAATGGATCTAGCTTTAAAACTGAGCTCTTGAGAGCGTTTGCCGTAATTCAGTATTTTGCATGAAAATCGGCCGACATGACGTCACTCTGACGTCATTTCCGGTCAAACTATGGTAGCTAGAATATTGAAATTTTAACACAAGGTGTCAAATTGATGACTTTGAAGGTACCGCAAGTTTCGTGTTGATCCGTCCAAAGGTTTAGAAGATATTGCTGAAAAACGGGAGGGGGCTCTGTAGAGCCCCCCCCCCCCCCCCAGTCATCTCGGCAATCTCCGAGCACTGCAGCCTCTTCAAGCTCCTCGAGGCTCGACCCGTAACAGAAGATTAATTCTCTGTAAATCCCTCCCTCTATAATTTTCCGGTATAGGTCAGCCACTGCCACTGGCAGCAGCCAGTGCTGAGCCATGGCAGCCCGATGGGTAGGGAGTGGTGGAACATCAATCTGCCCCCGAGTACCCTCAGATAGATGTGCCACCCCAAGGCCCAACGCCGGAACAGAAGTAGTGGGCCGGGTCCGCTTCTGGCGTCCCCTACCGTGTGTCGACCACCGCCCTCTGTCGGCTGGCCTGTCGAGTGAAATTACACCGTTTTCCAGTCCCCCACAGAACACGGTCTTCATTTTTCGGTACGGATCCGGGAAAGCGTTCGTGGACGCCGCGGGAGGGGGGGGGGGGGGTACACCTCCAAAAACAGTTTCTCCAATTTCCATGAAACTCCCCGGATTTCGTTTTCCTACGCACTGCTGAGCAGGTCACTGGCGGTCGCAGCCGCTAGCAAAAGGGGGGGGGGGGCCAAAGTCACACTCGCGGGACATAACATTTATCCGTCACCGGGAGGGGGTGGTGATCGGCTAATTTTTTACGTCCACGAGGCGCCGCACAGTTGGCATTACTTTGCTTCATCCATCTCATTCTTGCGTGAAATCTTTTAGCTCAATTTAAGGCAAAATCACCAGTTCCATTTACCGTCTCACGGTGTGCCCACCGGTCGGGCCGCTGCACCATGACGACGGATCGGTGGTAGCATAGGTATACTGGAAGGTCAGGCACGCGGATTCATGACCTTACCACTATAAAACAATTCGGAAAAGTACAGATACCTCTTGCTAAAAAGTACAGATACCTCTTGCTAAAAAGTACAGATACCTCTTGCTTTGAACAAGCATGTGAAACCCAGAGAGCATTTTTAGACTATGACATTTACCCATATAGGTACCTAGTTGTGTGGCGGCGGGAGAGAGTAGGTACACCGACCTCTGGAGACCCCCACAGGTTCCGAGCTTTCAGAATCGGCATCTGAGGGCCGCGCGCGACTCCTGCGGGGCTTCGCAACGGCTCTGTTGGGGCTCACTCAACCTGCCTAGTCCTACTGCTAAAAAGACTGGCCCTGAGCCCTAAGGACTTCATCAGTCTCTGCCAGCCCCAGGACCCACACCGGCTCATGGGGTCCCGACGTCGGAATATGAGGGAATCAGCGCGGGACCATCAGGACGTAAAGCAATCTCGATCAGGACCAACGTAAGGCTGTGCCGGAGACTGCGTGAGCCCTCTGATCTTCAGAAACCCACCCATGTATGTTTTCATGTAGAGGCCAGTTTAGGGCCCTCAGAGACCAGTACAGGGCCTGCAAACTACAAAGGCCAGTAGTTTGAGACCATCAGAGACCGAGTTGGGCTCTCAGAGGCTAATAAGGGTCCTTACGCATTACAGGCCAACATGGGCCCTCAGAGGTCAGCGTGGGGCCCTAAAAGACCGGCATGAGCCGTCGTTGGACCCCAGAGGCCAGCAGAGGGCCCTCAAAGGCCAAGATAGGCCCTCCTCAGAGGCCAATGCAGACCCTTAGAGGCCCGCATCGGGTCTTCAGCAGCCAGTGCGGGGCCCTTATTGGCACCTAAAGGTTCGTCTTGGGACACCAGAGACAGAAATAAGGCCACCAGAGACCGGTGTGAGACCCTCAGACGCCGGTTGGGACCCCTGAGGCCGGTTAGGGGCCCTCATAGGCCAGATGTGGGACCTCAGAGGTTGATGTAGGCTCTTAGCGGTCAACGTGGGCGCTTGACCGCCACTTAAGTTCCCTCAGAGGTCAGTGTAGGACGCTCAAAGACCGGTGTGGGAGCTATATTAATAGCTTGGCGTGTTTTTTTAGCCTCGTGACGATCGAATAATTGCCAGGGCCCCATACACCTATATGGGAGCCCATTGGTTGTTTGAGGGGGGGGGGGGTCAAATGATATGATGGCCCCCTTTATTGACCTTTGGGAGCATGGCCCTGATGCCCCCCCCCCGGCCCCCCGCGAGTCGCGACCGCCACTGTGTACACATTACACACATGCCTCTGAGATTACATACTAGCTCAGGCAAACTCTATGCAGGCCCGAAGGTCCCACGCTAATCCACCAAGCCGGCATACGGCATCACCACCGGGCTTCTGAGGTGCACAGCACCAACCCATGAGGTCTTACTTAAGTGTCTTGGAGCCAATCTCCTTTAGCAGGGCCCACCCGCCACTGCCGAAGAGGGTCTCATGCCAGCCATTGCTGAATGCTGGGCCTACGAGAGCCTTAAGTAAACCCACGCTGATATTCCATATAAGATCCGGCCATACTCGTGAACCGGTGCCAGCGGCGCTGACCGTCAAATTGACAGAATGCGAAACTGAGCCCACTCATGAGTGAAATTTACGTCCTTTGATGGCGCAAGAAAGAAAATGAAACATACGAAAAGCTTTTCTAGGACTTTTGTTCGATCTGAAAGGTGGGGCCAAAAGATAGTATGGCCCCACCTTTCAGCACCAAAGGGGGGCCATGGCCCCCGTGCCCCCCCCCCTTCGACCGCCAGTGGAGCAGGCTAAAACAAACTTTTCTTTGTGTTATTTTTATCCTCGAAAAACGAAACATTTTGTCCATTTTGGGCCAATATTATGCAGGCAATATAAGTGGTCGCATTCTTCATCATCCTAAATATCGACGCAACAGGCATTGATGTTTGTACTCCCGGCCGTTTATTGGATACCGTGGCTATCCTGCTGAGATCGACCCTGTCTCGATCCTGTCCGTCCGACCAGCGATCTCAGCGGTCAGCCGTCACCGACTGGCCGCTATTTCACTCAGTATACCCTGGGCCGCTTTATAGGGGAGACCGGAGCGGTGCAGGCCCGGGTATACGGTGCAGCCGCACTGCGGACGGCCGATCTGTACACGGACAGACGGCCAGTCAGCTGATCGCGGCTCGGTATTTCACTGCCGACCGGCCCGAAAAGGGACACGAGAACAAGGTCACCCCGGCGACTGGCTAACCGCATACAGTGCATGTGCCCGGTATTCGACCGTCACCGCGGACCTTGGTGCACAAGGCATGTGATACTATATTCTAGGGCTCTCTGGTTGAACTTTTTCACGGGCGTCGGGCTTAGGACGTACTATAGATGAACACCGTGTCAATAAAATAGGATGCAACAGTAACATATACGCTTACATAGACCCCACGGACCGTCTCCTACTGTACTGATTACACCGACAGTCGGTCCCATCGGCGACAGTCCCACCGACATGTTTTAACCCTATTAGTGGCAGGCTCCTGGCTACCCCCTATTAGTGGCAGGGGGGGGGCTGTTTACGACCCCCCCTTGATATCTCGAGATCTAACGGGCCGATTTTCAAAATTCAAACGGCATTCGATTTCGCTCAACGTGATCTACATTTCTAAAAAATAAAAATTAAAAAATGTCAATAGGGGGGGGTAGAGGGGGGGTAAAAACGGGCAAATTGCAGATACATTTTAGACTGTTTATCACGGCCAGGTTTCTGAACCGATCTTAACGCAACTTTTGCCGATCGATAGAGAATGAACCAGGAATTCACATGGATCCTAAAAATATGCATTTTCAAAAATCATAGGCGGATACAGATCATTGAGATTGGGGGTACACAAAAAGTATAGTAAATAAGGTTTTTGTTGGTACTGTTTCTAAAAAGGGTGGTAATGGTCTTGTTATGTTACAATTTTCTTATGAGAGAACGACTACAATTGTATTGGTCATGCATAGGCGGTGTCAGGGCACCTATGTTGGGAGGTAAAACATAACCCCCCTTTTTGGACGCCTGGATCCGCCTATTATAGCCAAAACGTGTCAAGAGGATGCACAATAACTGTATATGTTATCACATGATACCTTTCATTCACTGTTCGTAAAACTGGTGCAGAATCGTGGTCTTCGCCCAAATGACTCGCTTCACGAATAGGACCCCCCAATTCCCAGTGCTCTGGAGCCGCCCCTGGTAAAGTTATGAACTTGAAATTTTCAGGGAATGTGCCCAATTTAGTTTTAGGAAAAGTCAGAAAATTTCAGCATCGTAGCTTCAGCGGTTTCGGAGATATTCCCGAAAAACCTGAGGGGTGGATAAAAACAACCCCCCCCCCCCTGCCACTAATAGGGTTAACCCACCCCACCGACCGCTTCCCGACCGTCTCGGAGCCCAGGCCGACACTCACAGTCGTCTACTCGTACTCCAGTGACCTTCCCTACTGACCCCCTAACTGTATGACAATTATTTGTCTTCTCGCTATTAACTCCACCGCGGCTTCGTTTAAGTGGCCACACCAATCGTCACCCATTGACCCATGAGCCCAAATGTACCCGTAACGGAGTAACGCGGACATCCGCTCCACCTTTGCAAAGGCATGGATGAACAGGTTACCATTTTGATATACGGTACCCACTGTCCAGCTGGTGGGAGTGCAAACATTCCAGTCACAGACACGCAATTTATAAATTATCCAGCAATGCTCTTTTCATGAACTCGAGTTTTATAGCGCATTTATCTATACCTAAAATCGTAATCGTGAAGTGTGACATATGCCTACATGAGCCCAGGCCCCAAGGTAAGGGACGACGATGATGATGATGATCTGGGTCGTCACTCGCCAGATCTTTAGGGCAAGAACTTACAGCCCCTCCCATAGGCACACCGCGTCCCTGGCGACGCGGGCCAAGACCGAGACAGTGTCGACCTTGCCGGGACTGCCGACCCGGGATGGCCCAACTCGGCAGCCGGCGGCGTCGGTAAGGACACTGAGACGAGTGCACGCCGACCGAGCCACACCTATATAAAACGGCCCACGGGACAGGTGGGGGTACAGTCCACCGCCGACTACCACAAGAACAACAGACATGAAGCTGGTGAGTTTTACATGCTATCACACACAAGTTTTCCTTTTTAACCGTCAAGACACCACAACTTTAAAATTGGCCTACACAATGGCATGTGCGGCTATCTCGCATCCACTGACCATCCTTCTGTACCGTTTCAGCTCGTGTTCGCCGCCGTGCTGGCCGCCGTGGCCGCCGCCGCCCCGTCGGAGCTCCCCTACGAGAGGGACATTGTCGAGATCCTCCGACAGAACATCGACCACAACGACGACCAGTCCTACCAGCACTCGTGAGTACACCGGGCTGCTTAATCGACTGGAGAGAATGCCCACATGCGCATGATGTTTATACTGCAGCCGATAATAAAAAGCTCAAAAAGTCTAACCAGTATAGCGCAATGCAATGCAGCATGTGTTTATGCGCTACCTCGATAACCCACCGCTCGCCTCTGTCCGGCAGTTTCGAGAGCGAGAACGGTATCTCTGTGTCGGAGTCTGGCGAGCCGGAGGATGACGACAGCTACAGCGTGTCGGGCCAGTTCAGCTACACTGCCCCCGACGGCGTCACCTACACGGTGGTGTACTCGGCCGGCGAGCAGGGCTTCCAGGCGCAGGGCGACCACCTGCCCACACCGGTGCCCACCGAGTACCCCACCCCGGAGGTGTCTGAGGAAGAGGATGAGGAGGATGAGGAAGAGGAGGAGGAGGAGGAGGAGGTCCGTGGTGAGCCTCAGTACGAGCGTGTCATCGTCGGCTACCGGCCCCGCTACCAGTAGGTCACTGGACTGAGCAGGTGTGCCTGCCGAGTGACCGCCCGAGTTCATTTGTCCATTATCGCCTCCTTATTTATTCACTTTGTTTGTGTTATGTCCACTAAGTGTTGCATATTGCGGCAATATATGTTTTCAACGTCAATGTGAAAACTCGTGGAATTTGGTGGATGCAGCGGCGTATTTAGAAAATCGCGAAGGGGGGGGGGCCAAGGGTTTGGAGGGCGCCACCTCACCCAAGGAGGGCGCCATACGGTCGCGAGATAAAAAATCGCTCAGTGGGGGTTGGGGGGTTGGGAGGCGTTTTTTACCATGCCACCAGTTTTTTTTTTTGCGTAACCTCGTATAGGTCGTGCTGCATTGATTTTGCATCGTGTGTATTCTTTATACTCCAGGTCACAAAAGGTCAAGTGTTCTTGAAATGCTGCGCCGAAGGCGCGCGAAATTTTTAAAAACAACCTTTTCCTCCGCTTTTTAGGCACGCCTTTTATACGATCACTGTTCAAAGCTCCTCTCGCTCTTTTACCAAATTTGAAGGTGTAAAAAATACCTAAGGTTTGGTCGGGCCGCTGCCACACAAACTGTACAGAAAGCTTGGCTCATGGGTGTCGATGTATAAAAGTTTATTGGCGGTGGCATATCTACGCACCAGATCACCGTATCGGATTGATACCGGAGCGCGAGATGCGTAAACATCATCCAAATTACCTCAGACCAGCCTTCATAGCCTGCTCACAGATGCATAGTGTACCCACATAACCAGTTTCAATCACCGAAACTTCAGATGCCTGCTGTTGCGCCCGAACCTGTTGACAATACTTAATCGTAATCCATATAGATGCCATGATGCACGTAAAGTAGGATCAATCCGTTAAGACCAAAGACGTGTTTTATGCATCGTAGAGCGTAAATAGTTTTGGTAGGTATAGATACTTCATTCATTGTGCTGAATGCACGTTCATTTGTGGCAGTTTTCACAGGCAAGACATCAACTATGTGCAATAGAACGACTAAGTTGAAAAACATGCCAAAGGAGTAAATAAATGATAGGAGGGCAGCGATCAACGGATGTTGCCAATAGGTAGAAGGGCTGCGATCCACAGGAGGGCACTAATAGGTAGAAGAGCCCCGATCAACATCCCGAGTTTCGACAGTAGGGCACCGATAGGTAGGAAGTTGGCGAGCAGCAGGAGGGCGCCAATGGATAGAAGGGCAGCGATCAACAGGAGGGCACCAATAGGTAGGAGGGCGCCGATCAACAATCAACAGGAGGGCGCCACCAGGTAAGAGGGTGGCGAGGAACAGGAGAGCACCAATAGGAGGGTGGCGATCAACAAGAGGTCGCCAATAGGTGGGAGGGCGGTCATCAACTGGAAGTCGCCAATGAGCGGAAGGGTGACGATTAAAATGGGGGTGGCAATGTTGAGGAGGGCGCCTTTGCTCAAGAGGATGACACGAACAGGAGGGCGTCTGTGCGGAGGGCGCTGGTCAACAGGAAGGTGCCAGTGGATAGGAGGGCGGTGATCAACAGGAGGGTGCCAGTGGTTAGGAGGGCGGCGATCTACACGAGGGCGCCAATAGGAGAAGGGCCCCGATTAACATTCAACAGGAAGGACTAGGGAACCAATAGGTAGGAGGGCGGCACTGAACAAGAGGGTGCCAAAAGGGAGAAAGGCGGCCTTCAAAATTTCACATGAGGGCGCAATAGGTAGGAGAGCGCCAATAATTATGAGGACGCCGATCAGCAGAAGGGCGGCAATGTGTAGCAGGGTGGCGACCTACATACAGGAGGGCGCCTTCGGGTGAGAGGGCGCTTATTTACAGGACAGCGGCTTACATAGGCGACCACCGTTACGCTTAGAGAGCTACAGCCTACAAATGTGGTTGGAGGGCGCCCGAGGGAGCCCTCCAACCGTATTTGGAGGGCGTATTTGGAATGGGCGTCCTCCGAGGGCGCCCTCCATCCGTATTTTCCCTGTAAACACATTCGCGATTGGAGGGCGCCCTCCAGTCGCGATTGTTTTTCGATTCGATTATATCACAATTGCATTTGCGATTGGAGGGTGCCTTCGGCGCCCTCCAATCGCAAAGGGCGCCTTCGGCGCCCAAGGGGGGGGCCATGGCCCAGTGGCCCCCCCCCCTGCCTACGCCCCTGGGTGGATGGCTTTAGAATTAGAATAAGGTATGTACGTGTCCGTACCGTATCGCTCGCTTATAAGTTATAATGCCTGCTCAGTGGGATCCAAGAGACACAAAATGAAAGGAGCCGAGAGGGTACACCTAAAGAGTCAGTTTACAACTACCTGCAGCTTTTTATGGTAGTGTGGTTGCGCATGTGGCACCACTGAACAGGTCTCGTAACAGACAAGCGGCACGGGCAAGTCACCACACAACGGAACCGACTCGACCTCATGAAGTCACACAACTGACTCGCCGGGGCCACCAAAAAGGGACGGATACCGAGGCCGTACAAAACACAGCCAAACCGAAGCTTCACAAAACTCGGCCGACCTAGAGACTTTCCAGAGCTGGACAGACCCGAAACCATAGAAAGCTCGGCTCGAGAGAGCACCCACATCGACTCCTAGCGACGTGTCCGTTCAGACTTCAGAGGCACGTATCCTGACGGCTGAAAGAAACGCTGCGAAAGTAAACGGAAAGCTCCATTCCATACAGATTGGCATTCGACGGATGGCGCAACATTTCCTGACTTACAAGAATCGTTACCTATCAATTACCATCATTGCCGGTGTTTCTTTTTCTGCGGCGTACCAGGGGCGAGACATAATAATCCATAGGTGCCGTTTTACATGGGTCGTCATTCAATAATTTTGGCATTTTTACAATAGCATATGGTGCTGGAAATGGAACCGCTATTGGATAAATTGGAGGTTCCAGAAAGAAGAAATAGCTGGACGCTCTTGGGATATGGCGATTCAAGAAAGCAAGCATCGCTGCCCGCTTCGGGGCGTCGGGCAGTGGCGCAGCCAGGGGGGGTGAAAGGGGTGAGATCTCACCCCCGTCTCTTATCCTAGGGGCCCACTGTCGATTCTAACTGTAACGTTATGCAGCCTGACAATTTCTTTATCATAATGTCAAGGCCCGTCATAGGACTGAAAACAGTTTTCAGGCCTGATAGCCCCCCCCCCCCCCCCTTAGGATTTATAGTCATATTTTATGATTTAAGAGGGTACATCCAAGACCCGATTGAACTAATCCAAGGCCTAGGAGGGCCCGTTCCATGGCACGAGAGGGCCATTTCAGGCCTGAGAGGGCCCATTTCAGGCCTGTCAGGGCCCATTTCAGGCCTGAAGGGGCCCATTTGAAGCTTGAGAGGGCCCATTTCAGGCCCTAGAGGGCCTGTTTGAGGCCTGAGAGGGGCCCATTTCAGGCCTGAGAGGGCCCATTTGATGCCTGTGAGGGCCCATTTGAGGCCTGAAGGGGTCCATTTCAGACCCTAGACGGGCATGTTTGAGGCCTGAGGGCCCATTTCAGGCCTGAAAGGGGCCCATTTCAGGCTTGAAAGGGGCCCATTTAAGACCTGAGAGGGGCCTATTTCAGGCCTGAGGGGGCCATTTCAAGCATGAGAGGGGGCCCATTTCATGTCCTAGAGGGCCTGTTTGAGGCCAGAGAGGGCCCGTTTGAGGGCTGAGAGGGGCCCATTTCAGGCACCATTTCAGACCTGAGAGGGCCCAGTTACGGTATGAGGGGGCCCTTTTTCGACATTGCCGGGCTGAGGGGGCCCATTTCAGGTCTGAGAGGGTCCATTTTTCAGGTCTGAGAGGGCTAATGTCAGGCCTGAGAGGGCCCATTTCAGGCCCTAGAGGACCTATTTGAGGCCTGAGAGGGGCCCATTTCAGGTCTGAGAGGGCTAATGTCAGACCTGAGAGGGCCCATTTCAGGCCCTAGAGGGCCCATTTCAGGCCCTAGAGGACCTATTTGAGGCCTGAGAGGGGCCCATTTCAGGCCTGGAGGGGTCCATTTCAGGCCCTAGAGGGCATGTTTGAGGCCTGATAGGACCCATTTCAGGCCTGAGAGGGGCCCATTTCAGGCCTGAGGGGGCCCATTTCAAGCTTGAGAGGGCCCATTTCATGCCCTAGAGGGCCTGTTTGAGGCTAGAGAGGGTCCGTTTGAGGCCAGAGAGGGCCCGTTTGAGGGCTGAGAGGGGTCATTTCAGGCATAAGAGGCACCATTTCAGACCTGAGAGGGCCCAGTTACGGTACGAGGGGCCCTTTTTCGACATGATAGGGACCATTTCCGGGCTGAGGGGGCCCATTTCAGGTCTGAGAGGGCTAATGTCAGGCCTGAGAAGGCCCCTTTCAGACCCTAGAGGACCTAGTTGAGGCCTGAGAGGGGCCCATTTCAGGTCTGAGAGGGCTAATGTCAGGCCTGAGAGGGCCCATTTCAGGCCCTAGAGGACCTTTTTGAGGCCTGAGAGGGTCTACTTCAGGCCTGAGAAGGGCCCATTTCAGGTCTGAGAGGGCCCAGTTCAGGCCTGAGAAGGCATCCCAGGAATGAAAGGATCATCCTATGTGTGGGAGGGTCCGTACTCCGTGCCTGGTCTGGTTCTGAGAGGGCCTACCCCAATCCTGATTGAACCGATATCATGTTTGATATAGGTCAACTCACCACATGTATATTGATGGCCCAGTTCATGTCTAATGGACCCATCTCAAGACTCAGAGATTTTATGCTTCAGGAAGCCTACCCCAAGCGTGAGCGGCCCCTAGAGGTTTTTGAGGCTCATGGAGTTCAGAAGCGGCGGAACACCTTCAGTTGGGGGGGGGGGGGGTGGGCACTGCCGACTTTTGATCCCATTCTTTCCATGTAACGCCCATAGAGCCCATGTTAAAATGCCAAAATCAAAGGGGGCACGGTGCCCCGGTGCCCTCCCCGTTCCGCCGCCTATGATGGAGGTCCCGCAGTACGATATGTCAGCCTCTGAGAAAGCCATGCAGGGCCCTGCCAAGCCGACATCTGAAAATCTTCTCCTCAGGCCTGTGCCTGCCTCGCCGCCCGGCCCCACCCCGACGTCTAGAGAGAGAGAGAGAGAGAGAGAGAGAGAGAGAGAGAGAGAGAGAGAGAGAGAGAGAGAGAGAGAGAGAGAGAGAGAGAGAGAGAGAGAGAGAGAGAGAGAGAGAGAGA